GAATATGAGGTAGTTTGTGAATGCATGCTCTTGTGCTTCCATATAGCTTTCAAATCCCTGCTGATCAAAGTCCTAGGCGGTATAAAGCATGAATATGTGTATGAATGGTCCAGTGGTATCAGCGGAATCCACGTGATGTACATGTAGAGCAGACGCTTTTTATGCATAAGTCAATTTAATAACATTGTTAAACGTTATAAATGTATTTGAATTTTGATTTTACATTAAATTCCAATCTTCAGATTCGACCTGACGTATATCACTTGTGGTGGAAGCCAAAATCAACTAACAGTCGATACCCGGCAGACGTCCGGCTCTTCGATGGTACACAACGAAGAAACGAACGTCACCCCGATAGCGAACATTGAGAAACTCATTCAAACAAATAAGGTTTATTATTTGATTTTTTAAAATTCATTGAATCAATTTTAATATTTATAACAGTTTACAGGTGGCTTGATACACACATCACATGGCACGGGTCGACATCGATGATATTAATTACATAATCAATTATTAACTAAGCATAATTAATAAAAATCGAAATTAATCATTGTTTGTTGTTTTATTTATACAAAATTGACATTTAAATACAATGTACTACCAGACAAAGGTATTCAGATGCCTGTACACTATGCTCACTTAAATGTTTCTTGTAACAGCAGCCCTGTTTTTGACGTATTCTGTGAGCTCCCAAATCAAAAATTGGAACAATTACATAATATTAGGTATATTAGGTAAAAAGTGTTTTACTTTGGATCCCAGCTCACTGTGGATTAAATTAATGAACGAGCGGATTCCCTAGCAAAAATGTCTTTTCATGATTTCTGTCCTGTAATCAAAAGTAGAATCACAAAATTTGGTAGAGTCCCTACAGTTAAAAAACGAGAAAACGGATGTCCTTGCAAGAAGAGGGGCGGCTAAACCGCCTGTAGGACTGAGCGCTTCTGTGGCATAGAAATGCTCACTATTAATCAGCACCTTAGACCGAAGGATAAAAAGAAAATGAGAGAACAATGGACACAAACAATCCAAGAACCTCCTAACAAACTTTGGATGAAAAGAGATAACAGAATGTAGGAAAAATCTGCGATTTTTAACAGGACACTGCAAATGGACATCTGAAGAAGACTAGCATAACCCAACACGGACTTGCTGATTCTGCAAAGTAGCAGAGAAGACACCAACACACCTACTAACAAACACTACCACATACCTACTAACCAACACTACCAACACACCTACTAACAAACACTACCAACACACCTACTAACAAACTCTACCAGCACACCTACTAACAAACACTACCAACACACCTACTAACAAACACTACCAACACACCTACTAACAAACACTATCAACACACCTACTAACAGACACTACCAACACCCCTACTAACAGACACTACCACACACCTACTAACAAACACTACCAACACACCTACTAACAAACAGTGGTGTTTCACTTGCCCGCAGAAGGAAATGTTTTGGGACGTCCAACATAACCGTAGAAGGGATTGAACCACTGAAACCGGGCCTACTAATCAAGTTCCTTGATGAATTAGGACTTACCGATGTTCTTTAAGCACAGAACGGGGAATGCAATAGCTCGTACAAGGGTGCAGGATAATATAAACTCCGATCAACACAGCTATCAATCTATCTATTTATGAAAGCTATTCTACAACGATGAAGACTTTGTTTACCATACCATAGACGAATTCTGTGCTTTTTTAAAGGAAAGAAAATCTTCCAGGAAAACTATTAACTGAGTTCGAACACAATAGAAAACCTTTTAAATGGCACATGAAAAAAGCACCTTCTGGGGAGGAGGGGAGAAAAATAAAAAATTTTTAAACATAGTTCAGTTGATTGGGATAATTAGAAAGAAAAATCATTTGGTTTATCATTGCACAATTCAATCGTGCAATTAAAAATATGCATAATTAATTATTCGATAATTATAGGTCCTTGGAACACTCATTTGACCTAACAGGCGAGGGAAACAGATAATTTTAACATTGTTTTTCTAGGCTTTTTAGGCTTTTGTTCTCTAACAGCAGATTTGTTTCTTTTTCAGTTAAATCTGTACGATTAGATGAGTTCAATGTCATTTTCAAACGGAGTCCTTTCTAATACGCATAAGTGAACCCTTGGACTATTGCAAATAAAAACACCCTTGTTCGAGACGGGCCAATCATCCCGATTCAACGATAATTGTAAAAATTAGAAAATATGCGCGTCTATCATGTGAAAGTCATAAAGCGGTCTGGATGAGCAATTAAACTAGATAGGAAGTGGGGCTTGTCGGGGCTCATGCTCGTGCGACCACGTATGGTCCTAGAACTAGAGCACAATTACACCAGTGCGAAATATTTCGAATTAAGTGTGGGACAGGGGAGGTAATAATGGTGGGCCAGGCCGCACACAGTTCCAACCGCAGGACAAAATGGCACGTTGGATTAAAACTCAATCCGCAATTACAGTACCAGAATCGTTTACCGTTTGAGCAACTGTCGATTTGTTCCGACCGCCACGGGCGTTATAAACTATCACAGGGTGCATTAACACTATAATATTTGCTAGCTTAATCAAACTGACAATTCTAAATCAAACAAGCCATGGTACACTCTAACCGTAATGTCTATCTCTTAAAAACACTGCGGATTTATTTTTAACAATTATGGTCCGTTATAAGTTAGGCAAGACAAAACATGGGACTTATGTGAACAAACAGTAACGATCCTCATCAAAGAATCATTAGCTCTTCTGCTCATATGCTCAGTAGCCAAACACCACTGACTAAAGCATAGGTTAACTGAAGTAAGTTTAATTAAAAACAGAAAAAATACCTGCTGAAACAAAAAAAGCAAACTTTCACTACTATGAAGGGTACAAAACATGGCTTCTACACAGCCAAACCAAGCGGACCTGACTCGCTAAACTGATAACGATTACTGACTTTTTCTCTCCTCCATGAAAATACTGAATAATAACAGCCAATGTGTTGATAATTTATTACCGATCTATTTTTCACCCTAAATCTTTATCTTACAACTGGTCAGTCTAATCTCGCAGTAGACTAGTAGTCAGACGCCGCTGATTAAAGCATGGTTAATAGAACTAAATTAGCAATATTAATATGAGAAAAAAAACTTTCAGTAATTTGTCAAGTATGAAACAAACTGGGTGCAACACAGCGATACCAAGCGGACTGGCTCGCAAAACTGATGACGATTTTTGACTTTTTGCTCTCATCAATTTGTTATCGATATATTTTTCACCCAAAAGGTTCGTTTATCTTACAACTGGTCAGTCTGGCCTCGCAGTAGATCAGTAGCCAGACGGCACTGAATGAAACGTAGGATAATAGAGCTAAATTAGCAAGATTAATAACAGAAAAACTCGAAATTAAAAAAAACAACTTTTTTGTCAAGTACGAAGCAAAACTGGCTGCAACACAGTGTTGCCAAGCGGACTGGCTCGCAAAATTGATGACGATTTTTGACTTTTTGCTCTCATCAGTTTAAAAACTGAATAATAACAGCCGATATGTTGATAATTTGTTTCCGATATATTTTTTACCGAAAAGGTTCATTTATTTTACAACTGGTCAGTCTAGCCTCGCAGTAGATCAGTAGCCATAATTTTTGTCAAGTACGAAACAAAACTGGCTGCAACACAGTGATACCAAGCGGACTGACTGGCAAAACTGATGTCGATTTTCGACTTTTTGCTCTCATCAGTTAAAATACTGAATAATAACAGCCAATGTGTCGATAATTTATTACCGATATATTTTTCACCCAAAATCATTATCTTAGAACTGGTCAGTCTAGTCTCGCAGTAGACCAGTAGCCAGACGCCACTGACTAAAGCATAGGTTAATAGAACTAAATTACCACTATTAATATGAGAAATTTAAAAAAAATCTTCATTTAAAATACTGAATAATAACAGCTAATGTGTTTGTAATTTGTTACCGACATATATTTCGTCCAAAAGGTTCGTTTATCGTATAATTGGTCCGTCTTGACTCGCAGTAGATCGATAGCTAGACGCCTTTGATTGAAATCTAGTTTAATTGAGTATAGCAATATTAATATCAGAAAGGAAACCCTGTTGAACGAAAAGAAGCAAACTTTCACTAATGTCGGGTTCGAAACAAAACTGGCTCCAGCATAGCGAAATCAGGCGGACCACAGTCAAATGAGTGTTGACGATTGCTGACATTTTGTTGTCGTTGCATTTTACATCCAAGCCCATAATGTAAAGAGGCAATATAATAATGTAATGTACAATGATTAACTACAAAAGAACTTCAGCTATTCACTATAAAATGTTTGAAGAGCCTTACCACAGGACTGATGGCGCGTTTTAAATGGCCTGAAATATTTGGTCGTTATCGATCATTTTTGTCTATCATCAATGGTTTGGCCTGTTAGACGCCTTGATCCAACTTCACAAAAAGGTCTTTACTAAATAAAAATCACTACTTAAAACTGAAGGTGGCGTAGCAAAGATAGACAGGCTAAAATGATATGTAAGGACCTAAAATACAGGTTTATCACTCCTCAGACCATGAGGAAATCTCACGAAATAAATGTTTATCCCTTCCATGCCTGTAGTAACCGTATGAGTTAATGAGTTAATACTGAGTGCATATGCTATGTTGCTAAGTTTACACACTGAGAAAAACTTATCGCTTGTCTTCAGTATACGATCCTTCACAAACTTTATATTCGTTGTTATGCGACGATCAAATATCTTAATGGGAAGTCTTTAGAGACATGCATGTCGATGTCTAGGAAGGACAAGAGTTACAGGAGCAGAGGCTTACACTATTTTGTAGATGACTAATTTGTAATCGGCATAGCATGTCGTAAAAAGGTATCACTTTAGGACTTGACAGCCTGAAAGGCCATATTTGTGGAAGGTTATACAGGACTTATTTTATTAATTCTAAATTTATCCAATAATCTGTTGAATAAATGGACTGACCTTTTTTTGGCTCCAAAGTGCGTTGACGCTTGGTTTTCCTCTCCTGAAATTCGACTGGTCGATAACGTCGTCATGGACGAGGGACGCCGTGTGGATCATTTCCGCGACCATGGCCATTTGGATTTGCTCCGCTGTGATTCCGCTATAACAAAACAAGCCAAAGAGAATTAAAGATGGATGTGGGAGTTAAACGGATACAGAATCGTTGAAAATCCTTCCTGGAAAGAGCACTAAACAACGAAATTACTAAAAGTAGATACGCACCGAAAATAGGCCAAGGATAGCAAAAGTTAATTCGCAAAGAGGCTCTAATGAGTTGTGTAATTAAAACAAAAGTACGACTTCAGTTAAACAGAGCAAAACAAAGCGAGAAACCGCTCAAGTGGACCAAGGGAGGTAATAAAACCGAAAGCATCTGCATAAATTTACAGTTCGATTCGGCATTAAATAAATATATTTCACAAAACGTTGTATATGTGTCAATGTATGCGACTGTATTGGTTCAAAACTAAAAATTAAAAAGTAAAAAAAAAAACTTTGAATATGTTGAAACAATGAATGAAACAATAATTTGTTTGATTTTTAAAATTAAATTTACAGATTTCAAACGAATTCGATTTTCTGTGGATTGGATAAAACAGCTTTTACACTTTTTAAACACAAGTTTCTTTTAAGGGTCTAACAACTCCTAAAATGCTACCTCCACACACACACTCTCTCTCTCTCTCTCTTCCACTCTCCCTCACTCTCTCCCTATTTTATTCTCTCTCTTTCTACTGTCTCTCTCACACTCTCTCCCTTTTTTACTCTCTCTCACAGTCTCTCTATTTCTTTCTTCTCACTGTCTCTATCTTGCTTTCTTACTGTCTCGCTCTCTCACTCACTATCTCTCTCTTTCACTCTTCCTCTCTCTCTCTCTCTCTCTCTTTTTACTCTCTCCATTTCTACTGTCTCTCTCACACTCTCCCTCTCTCTCTCTTTTTACTCTCTCCCTTTCTACTGTCTCTCTCACACTCTCCCTCACTCTCTCCCTTTTTTACTCTCTCTCACAGTCTCTCTATCTCTTTCTTCTCACTGTCTCTATCTTGCTTTCTTACTGTCTCTCTCTCTCTCTCTCTCTCTCTCTCTCTCTCTCTCTCTCCGTTCATTTTCTCTCTCGTTCTTGTTCTCGTTAACTTCAGCGATTTTTACCTTAATTTACAAAATGTTATAAGATATAAGATTTAACTCCACAATATTTATAAGAAAATTATAAACATTTTTATAATGTACATAATATTAATTACTCGACACTCAAACCACTTGTTAATTCTAAAAAAAAAAAAACTAAAAAAAATATTTAGCAACTCTTTAAAACTGAAAAGCATGAACAATATACCATTAGATTTTTTTTTTTAACAAGGGTTGCAACAGCAGAGGTTATATCAACCCTCGGGGCGCCGGTGTTTGTGCCCATTCGTAAGTATGTCGGGTTCGAATACATGGCGGCTGGATTCGAACCCGGGACCTTACAGTAATGAGCGCCGTGTCAACGCCCAAAACGTTGCGACCACCGACGCCCCTCGAAAATAAAAAAAATTTAAACAACGAAAAATTATTTAAAAATAAATTTAAAAAAATACTAATTTCAAAATATGTATAACCATCTCCTGTGTCTATTAATCAACAAGTATATTTGTATTAAACAATTTTTTCCCTACAAAATACTCCTTGATAAATACGTTCTCTAATTCACTTGTTAAATGGTTAGTTTATATTTTTCATTTTTTTCCTTTAGGTACCTACTTCAAAATTTTATTTGCTTATACTATATTTTTTTTAAATTGTAGTTATTGTAAAGTGAAATCATACGTCGTTTATAATGCAATTAAGTTAGAACATATATATTATATATTGCATAATACATGTTAAATTTAGTAACACTGATTAATCTATAACTATACATGTTACATGATCGTTTTGTTTGTCCATTTTGTATTTATTCATTTTTGTATAATCGAATCCGTCGATTGTAAGAAAGGTCAATATCACCTGAAAGAACGTTAAATTTGCTTCAAGAAAACTTATTTACATTAATTATTCCGAAATCGTGAGATGCGGTCTGGTGTGATGTAGGTTTCAGAAAAACATTTTCTTTATCGTGCCAACGTTTCGATCTTTATTGAGATCATCTTCAGGGCTCAAATTGTTTGTCTTCTGTGTAATTGTGCCATTCTTGCGTGTCGTGTGCCCTACGTACATCACACCAGACCGCATCTCACGATTTCGGAATAATTATAGATTAACAGTCACTAATAATCACCCCACTGCTTTACATTGCAGAATTGACGAAAAAATTCTGCACGAAAAATTCAAAAATGTTGAAATTTGGAAAATCTTTGATTGGTAACAGTTAATAACAACAAACTCCTGGAGCTTTGCAAATTCCTTCAAAAGTTCCCCATTGAATTAGCTTCCAATTTCATGAATTTTTTTTCCAGAAGTTTTTCGTCCAACAAGCCAAAATTTTCTAGTCAGTAATTCTGAAGTTTATCAGCAATTTAGTGTACCTAAGTCGAAAAAAACAACTCAAAACCTGAAATTACTTCTTTACCGTTGAGATTTGGACAGGGGTTTATGGTAAGTTTTTTGTTACATATGGTTAGCAGAAACGCCTGAAATTTTCGACACTTATGATCAGTCACCCTGTATATCAATTAATTTTAATAAATCAATTGTTTTTATATCTTACATGGAATTACTATTACTTTGGAGGATTACTCTCACTCACTCTTTCACACTTTCACTCTCACATTCTCATGATCTGTCTGCCTTGATCTCTCCCTATCGTCTACTCCCCACTTAATCTGTTTCTCACTCTTGATTCAGCCATTTATTGCCAATGTCGTGAAATGATTTGTTAACTACAACTTAACCCGAACCATAAAACGAATCGAAACGTAATCCTTTTTATAATGAAAATGTTTCCATCTAAACCCCTGACCGTGAGGAAACGAAATCGCTTGTAGTCAGACCGGCTTACTATAAGCGTTGGTTTCATCTTGCTTCATAAAGACCTGTTCTTACGTTATTCCTTAATAACCATTTTCCCAGCGCTGGCTCAAGGTCTCGAATTCTACTGGTAACGACCAGATAATTTACACATTGTTCACCCTTTTATTCATTACTCAACAAGGAGACGTTATTGGAAAATATAAAGAGAAAAAGATAAATGGCTGAAGTTGATTTTATAATATAAAATAGTTTTCTCGTGATTTAGATGATAAATTCCAATCAGCTCATATTATCGACCAACATAATTATCCAAACTAAAACTTTTTAAAAATAACTTCGTACCTTTGATTGAGGTGATAGTTGAGTGCTCTGGCCATCAAGAGGGTTAAAGCCGGCCTGATCGATTTACCTTGGCCGTCGAAATAGTACGTGGATATTCTTTCAAGCTCGTCCGAATTCGTGTGGACCAGCAGGGCCTGAAAAATTCAAATACTACTTAACGAATATCAATCATCGCAGTTGAGAAACATTTACGATTAATTAATTGGCTTATTTAATTTCCGTTGTATTATTGTCGCATGCTAAAATGTTCATGGCGTTTTCAGGCAAATAACAAACACAAGGCGTGAATACGAAGGCGAGAAGGAATTTATGTACTTGTAGGACACAAGGCAGCGTATGGGTCCAGATCGTGTTCAGTAGCTTATGATGACATAAGAGAGACTAAACTTTATCATCAGTCAAAATCAAGACAAATTGACTCTACGTTCCATTAAATAATCTGTCTTGGAGAAGAATGGCATAAAGCTGTTTTGCATTATGAGCTATTTCTAGATGGCAGTACTATTGAAGCTTTGTGCTCAAAGGGGAATTTTTAAAAGCATAATACCCCTATTGACTTAGGGAAATTTTTGTGATTTATCTTCTTGCGGACTGGGAGTTGATGAACTGCATCCTTGTCATTTGGTTTAGATCAGACAGGCATGAATGGCGACAGGCTTAAACGATTCTGACATATCAAACACCCAGGACCAAGCTAGAAGAAAATTCCTAAACATTTAAAGCCATTTTGACCCGCCCAGCTTATAACCCTGACTCACCACCTAACCTGGTCTTGCATAATCAGGGGCACATTTTGGTGAATTGAAAACCGGTTGTAAATAATGTAAACGTTTATTTATAAAATTTTGAGACCTGAAGATTGAGAAATGTGTAACCTGGTCGTTTTTTTTATCTTTTTAGTCTACCCAGTTTTGGTCGGTCAAACGTGGTTATCGAAAATAAACTCTTACAAACAGAAACGAGAGGATAGGCGAACCAAAATGATTAGAAACAAACGACCAATCTGGAGATAACTTCTTAAAAGAGGAACGAGCCATTCTGCCCCACCCTGCTTATAATCCTGACGTTGCTCCCTGTCCTGGTCTTGTGCAGTCAGTAGTACATTTATAAAAGAATTTGACGAGTTAACCAAAGGATTCAATCAGGCAAAAATTCTGGCTAAGCGGTGAGTAAGATTGCAAAAAATGGTTTATATCCTTTTATAAGTAAACTTTACGAAATCTGGGGATTGATAAAAACTTAGCTTGGTCGTGTTCGATCGTTTTCGTCTTCCTAGTCTCTCCGTTTTGATCAATCAGGATGGTGCAAAAGCCAAGCAAATAAACAAAAACCGAGAGGCAAATCAAAATGAGTGGTTTGGAGGTAACTTCGAAAAAGTGGAACGCAACATTCTGATTCACCCTGCTTATAACCCTGACGTCGCCATGTTTGACCTCTTCTACAGCCAGTGGCACATTTATAAAGGAATTTAAGTCACGAGTGTGACACTAAACAAACGATTCATTCAGATAAAAATTCTGGTTGAACGATGAGTAAAATTGGGGAAAATAGTTTATACTTTGAAAAGTGAAATTCTCGAGACCAGCTGATTGATGAACCTGACGTGCTAGGTCGTTTCCGATCGTTTTGGTCAGCTCAGTCTTATAATGTTGGGCAATCAGATGCTAATAGCAAAAAAACACCAAAACGGAGAGGATAGGCAAACCAAAATGATTAGAAACGACCAAGCTACAGGTAATTTCGTAAAAGAGGTACGAGTCATTCTTCATCACCCTATTTATAACCCTGACGACTTTTTTTTTTTTTTTTTTTTTAAGGATGTGTGATTAACTAAAAGAACTCAATCAAACAATCCCGGCTGACAGAAGGTTAAAAATTGGTAGAAAATGGTGGTTTATTGTACCAAATTTTTTAATTATTTTTGTGTGTGGTGATTAGTGACCGTTTGTCGATGATTATTCACTCTCAACACGACACGCAAGAATGGCACAATTACACTGAAAACAAAAACTTTGAGCCCTGAAGATGATCTCAATAAAGATCGAAATGTTGGCACGGTAAAGAAAATGTTTTTCTGAAACCTACATCACACCAGACCGCATCTCACGATTTCTGAATAATTTTTAATTATTTTTTATGTACAAGGACGTATCATTGTTGAAATGTTTTTACGCTTTTTTCAATTTGGCAAAGTGAACAATTCTAATCCACAAGTTAATCCGGCCTTTATTTTGGATATAGAATGTGAAAATTGAGACGTCAGAACCCTTCAACACATTTCAATTTTTTTATGAGATATTTTTCAATAATAAACTATTGATATTGACAGAACTGTGTGAGTGTTGAACAATTTTCTTTCTTTTAATATGCGCGTCGTGAAAAAGGTTCTTTGATGGAATGGTACACGGGTTCTCGCTGGTGGACATCTTTCGACGCATTCATCCCATATTCGCTGATCAGCTGTTTAAGCCTAATTAAATCGAATTGCATTATTTTAACATGCACATAAAACGGGATAGAGAGAGAAACGCTACTTTCTATTCAAACTTAACGCCCTGCTCGCAATTGCAACCAATTAATTAAACATTCTTTAAGGCATACGAGGCATTTGATAATTGGTGGGAGCGTCTGATGCGAAAAGTATGTCAGCAGGGAAAGTGCTAAGTCTTGAAGTCACTGTCGCAAGGAAGTTTTTTTCCTACAAATTTTTTTGTATATGAATAAACATTCGTGATCGTTTATCTTGCTTAGATGAAAATACAGGTGTATAAACTGTGGGAAATATTTCTCACGCTGTCAATCTGAAGGCTGTTAGTCTAACATGATTCATTAATCATGGGATAAGTTCTAAATATGTTACCTAAAAATAAAATTATTTGTAAAAACAATAGCAAAAGTGTGGGTTTACAATACACAATTATGATCTAGATAACCCGAAGTTCAACAGTATATCAGCCAAATCCGACTATTATAAATAAAAAAATATGCAGATTATGTTTCCTTGTGTTCCTTTGCTTAACAATAACCCCTCTTGAGTAATGATTATTCCTATTCAAAGGCGATATTGAAATTTCGTTGATACACACAAAAAAAATCTTCAAAGGTGGTCCTTCCTCTTACATTTTCACCCGGATTACGTAAGAAGAAAGCGACCTTAGAACAAGCCAGAACGGCTATCCTTCAAGGTTTCACCACATTCTTCATCCACGTTATGGATTATCATCAATGGTTTCACGCGGATAGTTTGAAAACGAAAAAATAAATAAGACGCGACGCCTCACGTCCGTGATAGACGATTTGTTTTACTATTGAACCGAACAACCCATCCGCCCGGGAAGGAAACCGGTCTGTACAAATACGAGGTAATGGTGAATCGAACGTTCTCGATTGCTCGGATCGGATAGCTTTGTGGAACAATCGGGGGTGTATAATTTCGCAAATCCCGGTTAGAACAATCACCACACCGGAGAAACCGATGATCCAGGGTGAATGTGGGTCAACGATTGGCCCTGAACCTGGGAAAACTGAACCGTTAGAAAGGGTTCTTGCAAAACCTACCCTTGTACCATTTCGCGTATTGTCGAAAAATATCCAAGACCCCGCGATGATCATAGTGAAGACAACCCAATATTGTCAAATATAATCAGGCAAAATTCAAATCCTACTCGTAGAACTTTAAATAGTACAATTCATACTTTCATGGGCAACATTGTTTCATCGACCGTTCAACTCACCTGACCCTCGGTGATTTTAACGGGAGGTGGTGTACGAAAGTGGAAGTGGTGGGAGACAATAGATGTCACTGTCTAGACATCAAACGACCTTGCTTCGGCTCGATGAATGAAATCCTTCAATAGAAAAGTGATAACACTTTTCAACGATCAATCACGGAAATCGACAAAGTTTTAATATGTTGACGCGTATTTGGTCCGCAGAAAGCTCGAGAAGGCTCATGCACTTAAAAGCGGTGATGTTCATTTGTTTGCTTACAAAACTCTTTGTTCTCAGGTTTGTTTTCAATATTTGCCTAAAATAAATAGACTCTCGCACCTTAAAGCACCTTAAACTACAATCTAGGCTTATGATGACTAACTTAAAACAAATGAACACCTTAGAGAGTACGCTATCTACCATATAATTTAAATTGTTGTCTTCATTTATATCTCTTTTCCCAGGCTTGTTATTTCTTATAAACAATAGCCAAAAACATTCTCTGCCTTGCTAAATAGGTATCACTGAATAACTTGATGTGAAGAAACAAATTACTGTTTGCTATCTTGGTATTCAATTAGTTAGTGATTCTACTTTGAAAGCTGACCAAAAATAACTTCAGTTAAACAAATTGTTAATCAAAATTATTCCCAGTTTTCTAACAGTGCTTATATTTTTTTTTATCAAAAGCACCAGAACTCCGGAGGTTGGAAGTTACATGACTTCTATAGTGGCAAACCCCCTTTTAAAAATTTGAGAATATCTGTTCTATGCAAAAAGATAATTATATCTCGATCTGGAGAGGCCTTAGAAGTGAACCTTCCAGAACTCAAGACAGTATTCCTCCAATGTCCAATGTTGGTAAATTATTTTCCTTTTCTACTGAACTATACTTCCGAGTCATTGAAGGGTCGGGGTCATCCTCAAACTACCCTATCCTTGCCGGTGTACCTTAGGGAAGTGTTCAGGCCGTGGTACTGTACTAGGTCCCATCCTAAAACCGCCCCACTAAAATTTGCAGTCGATTCTTTCAATTAACTCTCATTCGTCATTTCCACTAGAAACCTTCAGGAAACCTCACACTACTGAAGTGATGGTTTAAAAAAAATTTAAACCAGAAAATTTCTCTCACGCAACCTTCACTTTCCACAAAAACATCGCACCTCCGGTCTACTTCAAACAAACACTACTCCCAACTACGGATAAGGTGCGGCATCTAGGACTATAAATTGACAAACGCCTGATGTGGAAGACTCACACACAACCTAAACGACAAGAAGTTCTGGAAAGTTAGATTTCTTTCAGGACTTGTTGATAAACTCTAACATACCTCTCTTAAACAAAAGGCTTAACTTTATAACGGCATTGTGAAACCGATATGGTCTATAAGTGTGGGGGTCAGCCAAAGATTCCAACATCCTCC